GGAAATATTTATTCAAAATTTATCATATCATGCAATACACTTTTGTAAGAATAATAAACATTCATTAATTTCCATCAATCTAATGGAAATGGGATGATGATCGGTCAGATGGATCGATAAACATCAAATAGATTGTCGCATTATATCAAGTGAAAAAATACGTACGGATCAAGCGTACATATTCTTTACGTCCATAAAATTCTTTATATAAACATATTTATACTATGTCTACAATACTTACAATGAACTTTTCAAGTACGTGTTAACGCTTATATGTACGTATGTACGTATGTATGTACTTATATATAAAGGGGTGGAAAGGGAGTTTTATAATCGGTAGCTTATATATCGATTCGTACAAAAGAGAGCAATCAAACGAACGCGCGATCGTTTCGTTCGTGATGCTGTTGAACGACAAAAAAAAAAAAACAAAAAGAAAACAGAGAAAAGAGAAATAAGAAAAAAAAAACAACAGCAAGAAAAGAAAAGAAAAGAAAAGAAAAGAAAAGAAAAGAAAAGAAAAGAGAAGAAGGGACAAAAAGAAAAACATCGATTCTCGTTATCGTCGTCGAGGGTAATGACGTCCCAGTGTATTCTCCCTTCGTTATTTCAAGACTATCATTCGTCACCCCCTGTTTGTATGTATGTATATACATGCATACATGCATTAATACATACATACATACATACATACATACATACATACATACATATATACATACATACATACATACATACATACATACATACATACATACATACATACATACATACATACATACATACATACATACATACATACATACATACATACATACATACATACATACATACATACATACATACATACATACATACATACATACATACATACATACATACATACATACATACATACATACATACATACATACATACATACATACATACATACATACATACATACTTAGAGACGCCACGAAAAGGGTCGTAACGATCGCGGTGAAATCGATGTGTAGGAAAACGAGCGATTTCCGCGTCTGAGTCGTATTGTTTCTACTGCTGAAAGCAACATGGTTCATGCCACTTTGAAATCGATTGCATCCAACGAAAGAAAAAGAAGACGACGAGGAGGAGAAGAAAAACGAAGATGAAGACGAAGACGAAGAAGACGAAGAAGACGAAGAAGACGAAGAAGACGAAGACGAAGACAACGAAGAAGAAGGTGATGGAAGAAAAGGAATAGGTGGAGGTGAAGTAGAAGGAGGAAGAAGAACGTGAACCAAGAGTTTTGTGCTATTTCGTGGTAATAACAATTTAAAGAAGTTTTATCCTACTAAAATCGAAAACCTTCGAGCTTGGAAGACCTTTGAAGAGGAAATACAATAATAAAAAATTCAATTGATCGAACGAAACTGACTCTCGTAAGGAAACAAAAAGGGGGATCGAACACAAAGAGAAAGAATATTGAAGGTAGATCGATCGATCGATCGATCGATCGATCGATCGATCGATTGTAAAAACATCATCGAGGTGATGCACATTCCAAGTATCTGAAGTGGTACCACGGGTTACGTGCCGAGGATCAAACGGTAAAAGGGATCGATCGAGAACTTTAAAGATACTTCTTTCAAATATTTCGATATAGGATTCCACCGTTTAAGGTATCCATAAGCTTTTTGTTAAATGACATCTTAACGATGTTACAACCTCACCATGTTTATTGTCTTTTCTAAACTTACGATACACATACGAAATTTACGAAAGTTTTATATACATACATATACATATATATATATATATATATATATATATATATATATATATGTTTATTCGTATAGTATAAATTATTTATTATTCCATAATTGTGTATTATACTTAACAAAAAATTTATAATATTACTGTACTATATACATATTATATATAATACATATATATTATTACATATATATTATATATATATATATATATATATATATATATATATTATTCCAATTGTGTATTATACTTAACAAAAAATTTATAATATTACTGTACTATATATACATATATTTATTTATGTATAACATATATAATATATATACATATATATATATATATATGTGTGTGTGTGTGTGTGTGTTAGATAGTATACTGGGTATACTAACCGTAAGATGACTATTATGGTCTTAACAATAATCCGATGTTTTGATGCTGGACCACCCGTAGTTCGCCATTAAAGTTGCAACGAGAGAGACGAAGAAAGAGAGAGAGAGAGAGAGAGAGAACTATTTTCTGACCATTCGAAAGTCGAAATGGGTAGAAGAAGAAGGGCATAGGTATAGGTCCAGTAAAGGAATTAAGAATCTGAGAGTGAGGTGGTGTAATACGAAACCCCCTGGCGCCAGAACTCTCTAAGCCACCGTTCTAATAATATCCTATTGTGCTACCATTAGCTACCTAACTCCCCCAATGTATGTTACTTAACACATTACGAACGGATGACAATATACATCTAACATTTTCTAAGTATCAATCGGGAACGATTAATTTTAATTCGATAATAATAAATGTTATATTGGGGGATTAGAAAATTTCTTTTATTATCATTATTATTATTATTATTATTATTATTATTATTATTATTATTGTTCTTATTATTATTATTATTATTATTTTATTTTTTCTTTTTTTTCTTTTTTTTTTCTTTTTTATTTTTATTCCCTTTTATTTTTAATGCAAAAACAATTTTCAATTCGTTTTGTTTTATTAACAACGATAGATATTAATCGGATTTATCATTGAAATCATAAAAGTGAAAATTTTGTGATGAACAAAAATTTAGATATTTCTAGTCTTATATATTATTCAATGAGATATATTATACTGTTATTATGTTTACGTTAATTGATATTAATTAATTCGTACGAATTTTTTTCCTCTTTCCTTTTTTTTTCTTTTTATTTTCTTTTCTTAAACAAGAACAAAAATTGACTTTACAAAAATTGCCAAACATTTATAATTAATATCGACAATAATTCTTTTCGTCGAGTAAAAAAGAAGAGAACGTTTGATAATTTTTATTCGTTCAGAAAGAAAAAAAGAAAAGAAAGGCAAAAAAGAAACAAAAAAAAAAAAAAAAGAAGAAAGAAAGAAGAAAAAAAAGAAGAAAAAGAAAAAGAATTTAACCGAGTTTAATTACTTGAGTAACTATTTATTTAAGTTACTCAAAATGATTGTAATCATAGTAATCTACTACGATTATTTCTTCTAATTTTCTTTCCTTCTCTCTCTCTCTCTCTCTCTCTCTCCCCCTCTCTTCTGTCTTCGCCTTATCACCGTGTAATCGTTTTCACGATTATTTTCCGACGAGCCCGTTAATCCGTTATATACAGGGTTAAAAAATGAAAAAAAATGGAAGAGCCGAGGAGAAAGAGCATCAGGCGATTCTTCTTCATTTTCCCCTATATTGTTCCCGCACACAATGGCAAAGCACTTTTGTACGCGGTCTCTCCTCTGTTAGAGCTCTCTCTCTCTCTCTCTCTCTCTCTCTCTCTTTCTCTCTCCTTTTTTGTTTTTTCTTTCTTTCCTCTCTTTTTCCTCGTCAACCACCCCTACCCCCACCCAACCTTCGCCCTCGTCCGCCCCCCAGTTGTTTTCCGTTTTCGCTCTTTCATTTTTTTCTTTATATATATATATATATATATATATATATATATAAAGAAAATATATATATATATATATATATATATATATATATTTTTCGTTTTTCATTCCTTCGTTTTCTCTTTGTTTGTTATTTTTCTCTCCCCACCTACCAACCCACCCATCCGCCCCATTTTTCTCTTTAGCTCTTTTTTTTTCCTCTCATTTCCTTTTTCATTTGTTTTTATTTATCTTTTGTTTTCTTTTTTTTTTTTTTTTTTTTTTTTTTATTTATTACTCTGTGCTTTCTTTTTATATACATATATATATATATATATATATATATATATATATATATATATGTATATATGTATGTATATATTTTTTTTTTTCTATCAAAACGAATTCAAATTCCACAGGCGTTACTTCCGAACGGGTAGCATGCGTACATTCATAACCATTGATTGATGGCTCGAACCGATTGATCGATCGACCGATCTGCATTTAACCGACTTCGTAATATCATGGCTCGCGTGAACTCGACATTTAAGACGATACATCGATCATTCTTCAATTCCGAGAACGTCATATCCTGGTGGATTCGCGAGAAGTAATATTTCATTCGAATGATTCTCGCGAATCTGTTCTACATATTCGCATATATACCTACTTATACATACACATACACATACACACATGCATACTCACATGTGCATGTATATATGTATATATTTATATATATATATATATATATATCTATTTACATATAAGTATATTCTCGTATAAAGGTCTATCTTTTTTATACCTTCCTCCTTCTCTATCTTTTTTTCTTTTATTTTTTTATTTATCAAAAGCTTCCAAAAAAAAAAAGAAAAAAAAGAACCAGGACAGTGGTTCATAAATTGCGAGGTCATATTAGTAAATTCGAATAATTTAAAAAGGAGATTATTTCAGTTTTGATCCTGGAAATTATTAACGGAAATTGTATATGTACGTTGAAGGATAACATTGTTGAAAATAACGTTTTCCTTTCATTCCGAGTGAAATTCTCTCTCTCTCTCTCTCTCTCTCTTTCATTCTCTCTCTGTGAAAAAGAGAGACGAGGTGAGAGTATGAAAAATTCACCCCCTGGTATGAAACTGAACCGACAACGACGACTACGACGTGGAAAAGAGAAGCGAGAGGCAAAAAAAAAAATCAATGGGGCGGGATGGGAGCTAGAGGATTGGATAGGGAAGGGGTGGTGGCGGAGGAGAGCGGCGGGGAAATTTCAGGGGTCGAGAAGGAGGACGAAGGGGAAGGGAGGGGATAGGGACGCGCGGAGGTGTCGTGTGGGGAAACACAACGATTCCCTTATTTTATTTTATTTTTTTTCCTTTTTACTTTTTTTCTTCCAGGGAAATCCGTACGGTCTGAAGGACGCTACGGGGATGGGGATGACGGCGGATATGGGTGCTGCATGGGGTACGGCCGCTCTTCAACCTGCTGCCACGGGTTACTACCCTTACGATCCGACCCTGGCCGCCTACGGGTAAGTTTATCACCAAGTTTCATGGTCTCTCGGCTCCATTAGATTAAACCACCACTTCGACTCTACTCTACTCTACTCTACTCTACTCTACTCTACTCTCTTTCTCTCTCTCTTTCTCTCTCTCTCTCTCTCTCTTTCTCTTTCTCTTTCTCTTTCCTCTTCCCTTCGATGCCATTCGCTTGCCGCCATTAAAACAAGAGTCACGATCTCTCTTACTCGACTATACCTATTTCGGTCTCGTGAACGCTTATCGTTATCGTGAATTCGTAATATCCTTTAGGACAATATGCCTTTTCAACGTTCTATCCTTCTTCAAATTATATCGCTTTTTATATCATCGACGTTTACCATTCATTTTCTTCGGTCTTCTTTTGTTTTTTTTCGTTCTTTTTGCTTCTTTGTTAGTTTTTTTTTCTCCTTTTTTTTTCTTTTTTTTTTTTTTTTTTTTATTCATTTTTTCTCTCGTCGAATCGGTTTAACAGGGCGCATTAGTAGAACACAATGTATGATCGTATTTGAATGATATTCAGAGAAACGTTCCTTAGATTTTATAATATTTGATAATAATTGGATAAGAGTTTATTATAAGTTAAATATTTTCTTTTTTTCTTCGACCCTTCGCCGAACCCCACCCCCGCCCTCTCTACCCTTTAATTTGCGCATGATGTTTGTTCTGCGAAGCAAGTTCATTTTTTAATTTTCTTCTTTTTTTTCTTCTTCTTTTTTTTTTTTTAGTTTTGAATATGATTCGATGCGCGTTTTATTTCGATTAATTTCTGATCTAACTTAGACTATTGTTAAATTGTCATTCAATCTAATCGTTATATTTATCTAATATATTTCATAATAATGTTTAGATAAAAAAGAATTTATTGTCACATACATACATACATACATATACATACATTTATTATTTCTTTTTTTTTTTTTATGTATTTTAATATTATTTTTACTTTTATATTAGAAGAACAATATTTTCTACATTTTTTAAATATTATAGAAATCTTTTCAAAGTTATGTTCATTTCAATCAATTAAATTTAATTTCATGATTTATTATTTCGTTGATAGGAAATACGAAAGAATTTATTGTCCATAATTTTTATACACGTTAGATTGTATTTTTATTAAAAAAAAAAAAATATATATACTTTTAATATTATTAATGAAATCTCAGAAACAAATCATTTAACTTTTATATACATATAAACTGTACATATAACAAAATTAATTAGTTTTTCGTATTTTTAAAATTGAACACTTCACTTCTATGAGGAAAAACCTTTCATTAAAAAAAAAAAAAAAAAAAAAAAAAAAAAAAAAGAAAAAAAAAAGAATAATGTGTCATTTAAATCTATTAATGAAACAATGATGAAAAATTAATTATACTGTTGTCATTGATTTGAAAAATTGATGAACGAAAGAAAGAATTAAAAAGCAACGAATATCTTTACATAATAACTCATAATTGCATTTAAATAAATCGTACCTACAAGCAAAAAAAAAAACATTCATTGTTATATATTTATACTTTGTTCAAAAAAAAAAAGAAAAAAAGAATAAGGTGTCATTTAAATCTATTAATAAAACAATGATGAAAAATTAATTATACTGTTAAAAAAGAAACATTCATTGTTATATATTTATATTTTATTCAAAAAAAAAAGTAAAAAAAAAAAAAAAAAAAAAAAAAAGAAAAAAGAAACATGTTTATTTAATTAAAAAAGAAAAAAAGAAAGAAATCTTATGAATGCGTCGTTCAAGCTTGGTTAACGTAAGGAATGATTAAAAACTGGTTATATTTTTGTCGTTAATTTCAAATTGATGAACGAAAGAAAGGATTTGAAAAGTACAGATATTCTCTGAGCCACACGTGAGGACACGTCGTCGAGATTCCATCGAGTTAATCCATGGAGAAAAATGTGATGCGCTGAAGAAAGCCTGTTCCTTCTTCTCACTGAAGAGAGTTACGAGGGTGCTGTCAATTCGAGAACCCTCGCACTTCATCTTGCAGGAAAGTGGGATTATCGATGGCGAGAAAAGGGCGTCGCTTGTTAGTGCGATACCCAAAGCTCCCTGAAAGCTTCTTCTTTTTCTTCTTCATTTTCCTCTTCCCAATCTTCTTCTTCTTCTTCTTTTTCTTCTTTTTTCTTTTTTTTTTTTTTACCTCTTTTTTTTCTTTTCCATTTTCCTCGTCGACGAACGATCCCTGCGATTAACTAATTTCGATGTTTACCAAGGTCGCCACCGATTTCACGTCATAATCCTTCAAAATACTTCAGAAAAATGTCAAACCCCGAATTGGGGGAAAAAAAAAGAAAAGGAAAAAAAAGAAATAAATAAAAAGAAAAAAAAAAAAAAGAAGAATGGAAATATATTCCGACCAAAAAGTTAAACAAATATTTAATCCTTATATCATCGAGAATATATAAATTAGATCATTCTCGCGAATTTTCACGTTGTCGTAATCCTTCAAAGTATTTCAAAGATGTGTCGAATTA